TTTTCTTTTTTTTTTTTAATCGGTTTTCTTGGACCTTCACGAGGGGGAGAGAAGATGTCCAGACTGTTTCTTCCAACGACTCCGAACTTCTCCACCAACTGCTCCACCCCTGGCTGGCCTTCCGCCTCACGACACATCACCTCTGGAGCAGCGCCTCCTGCTGGACAAAAGAAAAGAAAAACGATTTGAAGAGAAAAACCGTTAGAGTGTAAGGTAAATATCTTCATTTACTAAGATTCTCATTTAGTTTTTATGATATGATTTATGGTACGAAGCATAAATTGGTTGGTTTGATAAAAAGATTTCCATGAATGTGGGAATATCTACAAAATAAGCTGTCTGGAATAAAAGCGTCTGTTCAACGGGACACTGCAGATTGGATGGGATGGGTTAAAGTCCAAGTCTGGATAAAATTAAAGGGGAGCCGTTCTGAAGGTATTCAGTTAGGTTATATCCAAGAAAAGTCTTCCTATGGGCAACGAGTTAAAGGCACAAACTAAACTGTTCATAATTTGTTCTTTATGGTACGCCAGCATTCATAACATGTAGGTGAATCACTGTCCCCCAGAAATCCACGGTTATATTTTTTATATTTATATCTTTTAAAAACAAAGCGGCGCGTCTATGACGTCATCCGCGCGCCGGACTGGAGTTGTGACAGGCAGCCCGGGCCACAGGCAGCTATGCTCTACCCCTTCTATTCATTCGGCTAGCTAATCTGAATTGTTCAAGTCCATTTGGAGAGTTAGATAATCTGTGGTAGCAGCACTAGACATCTTCCAGGCATGTGAGTAAAACTAGCAGCAGTTCATAACATATAATAAATATAACTGCAAATGTCTGGGGGACAGTGATTCGCCTACATGTTATGAATGCTGGCGTACCATAAATGATAAATTATCAACAGTTTAGTTTGTGCCTTCAAGTCGTTGCCCATAGGAAGACGTTACTTGGATATAACCTGACGGAATATCTTCAGAACAGCTCCAAACGACACAAAACTTATATGGGTGAGTAGAACATGATGGAATAACGTAAAATCAAGGGCCCAATGTAAAAAAAAACGGCGTTCCCCTTTAACATTTATTTCTCAGGAAAAAAACAAAACAAAAACTCAATAAAATGTTTTCTTCCTTTGGTTTAAGGGAGTCTTAGCAGAGAAAAAATTAAGTGTTTATTTATTCCTCAATCTCAATTTCAAATCTCAAACTAAAGATAAGAAAAAGGTCTGAGTCTTCAGCAGATCTGGATTATTTCCAGCTCTTCATCTGAGTTTTTAATGTGGTTCCTTCTTTATAATCTCCATCTCACTGGTGGTAAATCTGTTCCAGTGAATTACCGAATGAGGCGGATCTCAGGCCTTTGGAGCCTCTACAATGGCTCTTAATAATGGATAAAAATAAATAAAGAACCAACTAATGGTTTTGAATATAGTATATTAATAAATACCATTCTCAGAAGTTGTATTGTTTTTAAAAGAATATTTGAAATGAATTTTCTTAACAGAATAACTTTACAGAAGCAGAAACATGTTTTAGATCTATATTTCTTTTCAATAGCTTGTTTTTATTTTTGTTCTTTTACAAAATACCGTATAAAATTTTTTATCCAAAACTCAATTATGCTACTTTGTATTGAAGGGTTAAAAACAAAAAAGCAAAAACTGTTTGGCGTTTAATTAAATGGATACAAAACATATACAACAGCAAAACAAAATAATAAGCAATGCTTTATTTAAAGGTCATGTCTTTTTTGCGTCTATAAACAAATTAAATTTAGCCTCTAGGGGTTAAGTGGCTCTCTGGATGTGAACGGTTACAGACCGCTGATCTAGATCATCTGAGAGGTTCTGGATGGAGCCCTCAATCATTAGGGTCAGGCAGCAGGAAACATCTTCACCATGGAGGACCACAGCAGTACCGAGCTGGTATTCACACCCACCTGTGCTGGCGACCTGTCTGTGAGGGGCGGGGCCTGAACTGGGGGCGGAGTCAGTCTGGCTGCTGGACAGTTTGGAGCTGGATCTCTTGGTGCTTGAAATCTTGGCAGAAGCCAGTTTACTGGACTGCAGCGGGACAGAGAGAGGAGCCACAGTGGGTTCATGAGTGAAAGTTCAGGCTGAACTGCTGGTTTATGATTCTGTAGATAAAATCAAACTTCTCATTACATCGTTAATCATTTTCTCCTTCCTGGTCAACAAGGAACCAAACCACCAATGATTTAAATGGTGAACAGTAAAAACTATCGATGGTGAGATGAAGCCTCACGAGGCATTGAACCATTTGGCCAAATTGCTTCAACGTCCCCACAGTTCATGAAGCGTCATTTGAACATGTCACCACCTACTGGTAGAATGCAGAACTACAGTTTGTAATATAATCTATGATTTTTTTGCAATTATTTTTCTTATTTTCCCCCCCCATTTAAGTTACTTTGAAATTGTTAATGATTGGTGTGTATAATAAAATCTTTTGCAAGTTTTTTTTTTGTGTGTAAAATGTCTTAGAAAAGAAAAACCATTAAAGGTACACTGTTTCTTTTTTGCCATTTTAGTGAGATAAGCTCAAGCAGACAGTGAAAGTGCTTGTGCAAATTGGGCAACGATGAGCAAAATTAAAGGTGTTAGTTGTTTTATTCAAACATAATAGTTTTTCCACAGTTTTTGGTTTTAATCGCGTTGGAAGTTATGTGTTCAACCAATCTTATGGTTAAATCAACCTATCTAATTTTGTAGTGCTTTTACTAGGGATGAATCTTGAAGCGTTTCGATACATTTCCAAACTGTATTGATGCTGCATTGATACTGTGTTGCAGAATACTGACACCTGCTGGACATTTAAAGACACTACAGGCAGCTTATTTGACAGATTAAACTGAATTGATTTGATGACCTAATACAATAATATAATTTAAGTTATGGTAGGTTATATTGTATTATTTCATATTTATGTTTAAATTGAAAATATCTTTGATATTTTTAGATGCAGGCAATAAATTATTTTAACCTTTTCTTCCGTTGACATTTTAAGGGGAATGTGAATGAGGATTCTTGTGGACTAGGATTTTAAATAATAATTTTAATTTCTGATTAACTAAAAACCTGTGGATTAGGAGAGGAGATAAGCCAAAGGGATTAGATTAGATTTACTCATTCAGTCCTCAGGTTTCTAACAAACATAGGAAATCAAAACAAAGAGCTTCTCTATAAACAGCTACAGGCTTGTTTATGATTGGAGCAGAAATGAAATCTCTGAATTACTTTGAGGTTTGAAATAAAAGGATGGAACAAAGAATCCATAACCAATCATGTTTCTAAAGGCTGCAAATGGCCCCCATCAACAAGTTGACCACCCCTGGTCCGATTGGACCCGACCAGTTCAGAAGAGCCCGGTTGGCCCGGGCAGCTACCTTCTGTCTGCTGGCGTTACTCTGGAAGCGCAGACATGTCACCGAGGTTCTGTGAGCCGCTGTGATTTTGGTCGGGGCGCTAGAGTTCCTCAGGTCGTACTGGTAGATCTTCCCCTGAGTGGACCCGACCACCAGGCCGGTACCATCCAGTGTGAAGTCCACCGAGGTCAGAGGACTGTCCACGCGGATCGCCCTCAGGATTCTGTGGACCGACACGGAGCCGTTACTGTTCTGAACAACAGCCGGAGCGGTCCACAGGAACCTGACCGGCGCCCGACAGATACTCACATCCTGCTTGCCGTGTCGTAGCAGATGATCTTCTTGTCGAGGCCGACGCTGACGACCAGCAGGTCGCTGGTCGGGGAGAAGGCCAAACCCGAGCCGGGGGCCTTGTGGGCGCCGTCGAAGACGTGCAGCTCCCTCTGAGTGTTGGAGTCCCAGAGAACCACTGTGCCGCTATCAGAGACGCTTCCCAGGAGGGAGCGCTTCACCATGGACAGCCTGAGGTCATGGATGGGCTGCAGAGGAAGAGCAACAATGACCCTCAGCTTCATCACATGACTGGAGAAGAACAGCTGTTAAAACAGATGGACCTTCAGACGCAGCTTTGATTTCTCAATCCTTCACCACGCTCAGCTGGAACCACAGAACGTTCTACCAGAGGAAGGAGAAACGCCTCCGGAGCTACAGAAAAACCCTCAGGAAGCTGATCTGTGTTTGATTCTTTATGGCATCTATTTCTGAACTTTAAGCTTTATAGTTAAAGACATTTATATGTATCCAGGGTCCTGCAGCTGTTTATGACCTGTTCTATTGCAGTACTGACCAGCTGAAGTCAGGAAGACCTCCATACCGAATGTATTTTTCCTGGAAAACTGGTCTAAACTGGTTTGCATTTAATTTGAGCAGGTAAACAAGATGATCCGCCGATCGGAGTATTGTTGTAAGATCATTAGGAAATATGCACTTAAAAATTAGATCATGTTTTTCTTTTTTTACTCTAAACCTGAATCCTCATAGTCTCCTGGAACACTGTCTTATCTGCTAAAATCAAGGAAAAAATACATCTTATTCCAGAAAAACAAACTATGCTGCTTTGGTGCCTGAACCAGACGTGGAAGCAGCGAAGGAACGCAAAAGTAAAGGAGCAGGAATGAAGACATTTCATATTTGGTTGTTCAGTTAGTGGTTTTCATAACTTGAAACAGATCCCACATTCCAACGATTACGAATAAAGAAAAAACTGTTGATGTTTGCTGTTCTAATTTCTTTTCATTTTCCCAGAAGTGATAAAAAAATTAAAAAAAACTTAAATTTGTTCAAACTTGATGAAAAAGGGACAAAAAGGTTCTTCTCCACCTGATGAAGGTTAGCTTTGAAAGCAGGGGGAACCTGTCTCAGCACAACAGCGGTGCATTAGGTCAAAGCTCTCATACTGTGCCTCTTCTTTTTCAGAACACGATGCTATAAAACGTCACATTTAGCCGGATGATCATGTCTTTGAGTTACATTTTCAATGCTGTTTGGTGGAAATTAGCTTAGTGCTAACAGTTAGAGCTGAAGTCGACACTAACGGCTCGATTACCTGGTTGCTGCCGTGGCCGAAGGCTCTGCTGGACAGGTTGGTGGTCAGGCTGTAGAGGACCAGGTCCCCGCTGGTGGAGCCGGAGGCGATGCAGCTGTCGTTAGCGTTGAAGGACACACAGGTTACTTCCTCTTTGTGGTCCTGAGGGACAGAATCAGGCATTAACGGCTTCACCTCCCGGCCGCTTTGTCGGGTGGGTGGTTCTGTGAGGTCTTACTTTGAGGGAGCGGTGTAGCCTCTTGGTCTTCAGGTCCCAGATGTGGACGCAGTGGTCCAGACCGCCGCTCACCAGAAACTGAGACGAAGAACTCAGACAAACACGGGTCTGTTTTTTCTGGATTAGAAATATAAAAAAAATATGCAGAATAATTACAGCAAACATCCTGAAGCATTTTCTGATGAACTCTGATGTCAAACAGGTTTTAAATTGAGCTTCACTAAAGCAAAATGATGCAAACTGGTTAGAAGACGTGAATAAAGACAGAACCTCCTAATAGCTGGTCCCAGATGGAGGCAGGAGACAAACACAGCACTGGATCATCTGCAGAAACCATTTTCTTTCCTTTTCTAACTAATCCAGACAGGAATTTAAGCCTTTGTTCAACAATTTCACCTCCATATTGTAGAGTTCCCCCTGACTGTAGGACAGGGTGCCGCCATTTTTAAACATAACAGTTACTTTATCCAGTCGGTTATTTAAATCTTTTTCATTATTTTATTTCAAAACCTACAGATTTCCATCCTCCTGGCCAGTGAGTGGTGCACCTGTGCTCATCCACTCTCATTCCGTCCTGTTCCAGCCGGTCGTCATCTCCGCTAATGCTAATCCAATTAAATATTTACTTTCCTGTCCAGAGGAAAATCAGAACCTTCCCTTGGCTTCCTAAGTTTACTGTAAAATCAACCATATTGGTCTCATAGGTCAGCCACCTCTCTCCATCAGCCATCATCCGTCAGCTGTCTTCATCCAGTTTTACTCCTTTCAGCCCCAGAGGAACAGTGAGGAACTACTTTGGTGTGTTACTTCCTGGTTCCTGAGCCAATCATATGAGGGTTCCCAGCAGGAGAAGGGAGCAGGAGAAGGGTGGGAGATGAGGAGCCATGAAGTCATCTTTATGTCATGTGTTGGTTGGTTGGTTCAGAGGCTGGACAGAACAAACACATGACACAGAGATGACTTGATGGGTCCGTATCGACCATCTCTGCCCTGAACATCCTAAGAAGTGTTTCCTGAGGACGAATCGTCTTCTTCTCTTGTTGTCTGGAATTTCAATTTAATTCAGTTTATTTCTATAGCGCCAATTCACAACACATGTCGTCTCAAGGCAGTTTACCGTTCACCAGATCATGCAGTCAGATTGATTCAAAGTTTTCTATCTAAGGAAAACCAGTTGATTGCATTGACTCATTGACTTAATGCAATGATTGCTGCGTCTTCGTCTTTCTGCACAAAGCTTTCTGAAGTGGAGGACAGGGAGCGCCGTCTGTCATTTAAGACTCAGTGTCTTTGTTTCCTATTGCTCCTTCAGGTTGGAACAAACGCTGAAATGCAGCCGATACTCAACCTTTGGGTTTGAATCTTTGAAAGTTAAAGCGGAGAAGAAGACATTTCTCTGTCTCACCTACTTGAGCTGGTCTTCCTATTGATGCAGCATCCTTTCAAACTAGAAATATTTACATTTTTTGGAATGATCAAAAATTAGAAGACAATCCCTTAAATACTATACATTTTTTTCATTTTGATCCCTGAGCTTTATGTTGGGTCAGAAATATATCATACAATATATAGATTTAACATTTATTTGTATGTCTAATATAGGGCTGAAACAATCTGAATCTGATTACTGAAATAATCGTCAACTAATTTAGTAATCGATTAATCGTTAACTGGAGTACAGAGACTCTAAAACATGCCTTTCACTGACAGAGCAACCTGATTAAAAAAAGTAATTATACAAAGACTGTAAAAAAAAAATCTAAATCTAAAACATTTTAAGATAAAACAATTTTCGTCTGTCAATAATATGCTCTATCCAGACCTATAGTGGAAAAGTTTTGTTTTCACCGGCTTCAATTTCGTAAGAAATCTTCTTTAAGGATTACTAATCGAATATTTAAAAAAACAAACAAAAAACAAACAAACAGATTAATCGCTTTGCAAATTAATCATTAGTTGCAGTCCTAGTCTAATACATGATTTAAATATCCAATATAGCAGTAAATTACAAAATTCCCCCTAATATAATAACCAGAGGCGGGGACCATCCTGGACAGGTCCCCATTCTGTAGCATATGGAAGTAAATCTGTGTCGCTGGGATTTGAATTGAAATTGCCACTGAAATTTAAATGTTGTATGTTTGTACTTACGGTTTCAGTGTTAAAATATATTCAGAACACATTTTTGACCTAAAAAAAAATTCATTGTCATTATTTCTACACAGTTGAAATTTCATTTATTTTCTCTTCGAGCTAAAAATTCACATTACTATTTCAAAGTGATTACATTTTCAATATTTATTTTTCAGTTTAATTTTTCAGTGTTAAAAAAAATCTGCATATTAAAAATTCACCCTTTCAAAATTCAAACTCCTGAGATTCAACTGGCTCTATTTCACCATCTTAAATTCGGCGTCTAAATTCAGTGTAAAAAGGGAGGGGTTACTTCAGGTCACAGACATTAGCAATGGATTGTTGCGTCCAACACCCAGCCAATCCCGTTACATTTTCTTAGTCACATGAGGTGACGCTTGTGGAAGGAAAACCAGCATGACGGAGCCGGTCATGCAAGCTAACGCTAACTCAACTACAGAAAAATGAAAGTATTTAACTCACCGTTGAATTTAGACGGCGAATTTAAGACAGTGAAATAGAGCCAGTTGAATCTCAGGAGGCTGAAAATATTGACTTTGAATTTTGAAAGGTTGAATTTTTTCATATGCAGATTTTTTTAATACTCACAAATTAAACTGAAAAATGTATTGAAAATGTAATCATTTTGAAATAGTAATGTGAATTTGAAGAGCTTGAAGAGAAAATAACAAATTAAATTTCAACTCTGTAGAAATAATGACAATTAATTTTTTTTTAGGTCAAAAATGTGTTCTGAATATATTTTAACACTGAAACAGTAAGTACAAACATACAACATTTAAATTCCAGTGCATTTTTTATTCAAATCCCAGCGACACAGATTTACCTCCATAGTAGCAGGGCAACACAAGGACGCACGCACCAAAGAACAATTTGAAGATGCCATTTACCCTAATAGTCATGTTTTTGAACTGTGGGAGGAAGCCGGGGTATCCGGAGAGAACCCACGCATGCTCAGGGAGAACATGCTAACTGCATGCAGAAAAACCTGGAACGGGAATCTAACCCAGAACATTCTAGCTGCCAGACAGCATTTCTACCCACTGCTTCACTATGCAGCCCCTTTTTATTAACATAAAAAGTTGTATTCATCACATTTATGGCACTTCAAAGTTTTCATTTATACCCTAATTTTCAGCTTTTTCACAGAATCACCTCTGTCTGCTGAGAAATTTCAATGCCATCTTTGTTAACTTGATTATTTTTGCCAATAAAGTTCTTTCAAACTCAAAACGTTCACTAGGAACCCTTAAAACTCAGACCTAATTTAATCCAGTTTAACCCCTCCCCTGACGGCTAATCCTCCTCATCCTACATTGATGGATTAGAAACCTGATGGTAAAATTGGCGCCGCCTGCCCCAGCAGTAATATTTACATCAGGTCTCCATGTTGATGTCATTCTTTCTGCATCAAAGTCACAGAGTGTCTGGAGGATGAAATGTTTTCTGAATTAAATCGGTGCATCAGAGAATTGAACCACCGGCAGCAGGACTCACCCCTTCAGCCAGTTCCACCACTGGAACCGGAGCCGACTTGAGACTGGAAAGCACCAGTTTGTCCCCACTGCTGCTGGCGCTCACCAGGTACTGGTCTGACAGGACTGGTCAAGGATGGGATGTTCTTTTGTTTGGCTCAAAGAATGACAAACAGATTCAGACCAAACAACAGGAATGCTTTCAGAGGAGAAGATAAAGCGTTGCTGCAGCGGTTAGCTCCTTCATAGCATCTAGAGTCTGTGTCTGAACTACTTTTTGTGACACTAGCTGTTTATAATAAATTGGAATAAATTCAGAAATGCAATTCAGTTCAATATATAGAATTCACCTTTCAGGGCTGGCCAATAATCTGCCACCTCGACTTGATCATTTTTAATTTGGATTTACAGCCTGGTTTATACTCGACACATCGAACCGGTTTTAGCTCCCATCAGTCGACCCCAGCTGCTCCATTTCACAATCCCAATCAGATGGATTTTTAGAATTCATTTGGTATTTTAGGAATTATTGACAAGGTCTAAAAAGCTCTGTTGCTCCAAAAAGAAAATATGAAGTTTGTTTTTTATTATTATACCAAAGGCAAAATTTACTTTACTCACAGTTTAAAGTCTGTTTTTTAGTAAATTTTTTCAGGACGTCTCATTGCACTGAGGAAGCACCGCCTCTAGCCGGCTAATAGGCCATAGCTGGGATTTATTTGCTAAACCAGAAAAGGATCGAGAACAATTTTACAGAAAATATCAGAAAAAAAAATTTATCTATGAAAAACTGATTAGATGTTTTTTTTTTTTTTGGGAAAAAAACAAGATAAATTAATTTTATACATGTTTTATAATAATATAGTTAAATCTGAGGCTAAAAGAATTAATTGGATTAATGGTGATTAATTGATTACTGAAATAATCTACTAATTAATTAATCTACTAATGAATTGATTGCTATAAATTTAGTAATGGATTAATTAATTATTGAAATAATCGATTGTTAACTGGTGTTTAGAGACTGTAAATCATGCCTTTAGCTGACAGAGCAACCCACTTAGAGTGCTAATTACACCAATATTGTCAAAAGAATATATATTTAGATAGACATTTTGCATTTGAGATTAAAAAACAAATGATATCTATCAAAAACTCCTCAAGGGGAAAAGTTCGTAAAAATCTTTAAGGAACCTTTAGCTATCCAATTATTAATCAAAAAAATATTGAAAGATGAATCGATTTGCAAAATACCTGTTAGTTCAATCTCATCCTGTTATTTTAATTCCTGTTTGACCATCTGAACCTGAAATCTACAGAAAACTAAGAATAATTTGAGAAGATTTAAATAAATAATAACCAGGATAATAACCGTTAAATAAATAAAAGTCCCCTGGATGGGGAGTAATGCTTCTATTACAGGCTGTGACTAGATTGCTCCTCTCTGTTAGGAGATATTAGGTTTCTCTATAGGAGAGAATAATCTGGACCAGGTAGTAAGTGAATAAATAAAACAAAACCAGGAAGGATTTTCAACTTCATAAGGATACTGTTGGAGCTCCAGCAGGCCTGAGCCACAGGATGGCTGCTGCTGTGGGGGTTAAACTGCTCCAGTGGCGCCATGGAAACCGCATCCCAGACTTTCACGCAGTCTCCAGTCGACACCAGACGCGTCACCTCCTCCATGGCAGCAGCTGGCAATTAAAACAAACACACCTCAAACCAATCAATCACAAAACATTTCAGTAGAAATATTAAAACCTCTAGTTTGCAGAAACGGGAAGTTATTTCATATAAATATCAACAAAAACAAACAGGAACTGCAGATGTGATCTGATAAAAATTCACCTGGCAGCCATTAGAGGAATGTGGAAAATTTTCAGGGAGAAAAACGAAAAACAGGATTTTAAACGCAAGAGAAATTTGATCTGGTTGATAAAGTTTAGAGTCAAACTAAAATTAAAAAAAATTTAAAAACACATTTCAAGCTGCAGACGTGGTTCCAGACAGGATTACTAAAGGAATAACTGGACTTCATTAATCGCACAGTGGAGGAGTTCACTGGTCACAAAAGTTCTTAGTAGAACACAAAAAGTGGTCAGAAAGGGCTGGACTGTTACATGCAGGTGGGATATAAAGTTTACAGTTAAACCAGATCATACAGTTAAACTGGTTCAAAGTTTTTGTCTAAGGGAAACCAGCTAATTACATTGTCCCACTGACTCAAATGCAGTCCCTCACACTAAGCATGCTTGCAGCGACCGTAGAGAGGAAAAACTCCCTTTTAACAGGATGAAACCTCCAGCAGAACCAGGCTCAGTG